TAGACAAGTCATACTGTCACGATTAGAAAAACGACTAATTCTTTTATCCAATCTTTGCTTTCCTGAGAAATCAGAAAGAGATTACGGAATTTTCTAAGAAATTTCAGTTAATGTAGAAATGACTATATTTATTAAACATAGATTTCAAGGTAGTTGTATATTTGCTACAATACCACATCCTTTACAATATAATTAATTTTGAAAAACACTGAGTAATTTCGGAAATTGCTAAAAAACTTCAGTAAACAATAAAGTTATTCTATACTTTGCATTTGAATATAATTGTTTTTCTTTATTATCAAAGAAAAGATCTTACCTTCTATCATATTAGCAATTTCATAGATTGCACTGAAACTTCAGTCACTACAGAAATTAAAAATTATTTACTCTATTCATATGCTATTACATTCTACTATTGAACAGAGAGTGTGGATGTGGGTGCTAATCTTCTCCTCATTTATACCCACAATTTCTCAACTAAATTATATTATAGAGAGTAGAGACTTATTGAGAATATGTAACTACATTGAAATCAATGGGTGATGAATATAGTCATTTCTGTATTTACTGAAATTTCCTGATCAATTCAGAAATTTCTTTGTGATTCTCAAAATTACCATTACTTTACAAGGTAGGGTCTTCTTTTTTGATAATAAAATTCAATGACATCTATATTGAATAAATATACTAATTCCAGTATTTACTGAAATTTAATAATAATTTTTAAAATTTCTCAGTAATTACTGGAATTATTAAATTTTTGAAGGGTCGGATCTTGTTGCCCGTAGAAAAATACATTGATATTTATCAAGAATACATAGTCAAAGACAAAGGTTTAAGTAATTTTTTTTGCTCATTTGTTTTTCAATTTTTCTTTCACATGAGTAAATTTTGATCTGATTCTAGTTTACAATTAAAATAATTTTTTTTTTAACAGTAAAAATAAGTTTTAATACTTTCTAGTATTTCGCATTTCTTGACCAAGAGATTTAAAGTAAAAGGAAAAAAAAAAAGATTAGTCGATAGAGAATTTCATTCTCTATCTTTTTTCAAAAAAAAAAAATGTTTCATTCCGAGAGTTGATCTTTATCTGAAAAATCTGATGATAGCTAGAATAATCAGAAAATGCGAAAAAAACTGAAATTAGTTTTTACAAATTCTCTCTTACCACAATTTATTACATGTCATAGACAAAAGGATTCAAAACTGAACAAAATAATGTATTTGAAGTTTGAATATTAATGATTTTGCACGTTTCTCTTTTTTAAAAAATGTTTTGGAAATCACAACTAACTTCTCTTTCTTTAAATCTTTCTGAGATGAATGTCAAGTCTTGGAATGAAACATTTTAAAAAACATAGAAAGTGAAATTTTGTTCATTTTAGTTCGAATCCCTTCGTTAAAAGATGGGAAATACTGGTGTACTGCATCATATAGTCGATCTCTTGTACTACCTGCATCACTACTTAAATCATATCAGTACTTCTTCATTTGGAAGAAACAAATTCGCTTAAATCTTTGTCGTTGGCTATATATATATGGTAATTTCTGTATCTACTGAAATTTGCTTGTAATTTCTCGCAGTAATTACTGAATTTTAGTCGATGCTTACAATGAAATTATTCGTGACTCATCGTTTACAAAGATGCTCTGAATATTATGCATTTTCAAAAGTTTAGATTCTTTGAGAATAATTAGAAATTTATTATTTTCTGGATTGTTTATTATCAAAATTATCTGATATTTACTTAGTAATATTTTACGAATTTCGAGATTTTTCTAGAGATTTTCTTGTACTGTTAAGGGTAAACACTGAAATTTCTTAAAAATGTATTCGTCCTGTCTGAATAACATTAGGAAATTTCCTCGAAACTTAAGTATTTTTGAGTAGACGATTTCGATTGTTTTAATGAAAATTAGAGTAACTCTCATTTTTCAATAGAGAAATTTACTGATTTTCTTTTTGAAATCTGAACACTGCTATATCTACTCTTGAATTACTATTTTTTCTCCTTTCTATGTTATTTATCTACTTATCATAATACAATAAGAGCAAAAAACATTGCTTCAGATCAATAAAAAATGTGCACATAGAAGTTTCAAGAAAACACATTCATTATTTTTTTTTATTAGTACCGATAGTACAGTCATATCTTCGAAAGCCTTGCACAGTCTCAAAATACCTTAGCGATCAGAATATTGATAAGAATAGTTTTATAAAGAGAAATTCTTAACTAAGTTCACTGGAATGATTATTAATTGTAGTTATCCTGACTGAGACATTAGAATAATTTCATGTAACTCCTAAACTTTTTCGAATGTCTCAAATCTTTCAAAATCTAACGATATTTTGCGAAGTCTCTTAAAGTTGTTGGTATGTGTAGTATTTTGAAACCTGTTTCGCACTTGCTTTATTCTTTTCACAATAGTATCGATAAGTATACAAGATAGAAGACAAAGTTAAAATTCATCTTATCAATCTTATGATGTATAAGAATATTATAAAATATTTTCGAGACTGTTATTTTGAAAGCAATATCTTTTCTTGTCTATTTATATTATTTAGTACTGTTGTGATCATCATTGTAAGACTAGAACGATTTAACTGTCTTTCAAGGTCATTGATGGCGCTGAAATGTGTGTAAATTGATACGAATTTTCTTAAAACTTACACATTGATAAATTCGTGTCTCGTGTTATCAGAATATGACGAAAAAGTACCGTCTCATACAGTTGTATTTTGCCGTGTTATTGTGATGACTCAACCTGCTTTGCACTGCATTGCGATAAATGAAAGATCAGTCGTATGCATGATTCTAATCATTTATATCAAAGGGAGTAGATCAAAAAATCACAATTTGTGTCTGTTGCATGATAACTATCTGAGAACAAGGAGGTTCGATCCTCTCTTCGAATCTTGTTGTGTTTCTTATACTACTATACGGTATCGATTTTCTATCGTATACGTTTCCGTTTCGTAGTAACACGAAGCTCCTAGTGAGGACAAAAAATCTTTTTCATGAGGAAATGTTTCCCCTAGCCAGACGATCACATTTATCATTCAATTAATTTTGTCATGACAGATTGTCCATTACTTTTGTCAAAAGAAATCAAGTTCTCTATCCTAATTTTATTTTAGATTAACAAAATAACAAATATTTTTTTTTACATGAAGTTACGAGGAACTTACGAATATCTTGCCATCTGAATTGAAAAAACATTTGCACAACTGGCATATCGTCCTAGCGCAGAGATTAAGAGTTAAAAATTTCCTAATATCTAAGAAAATGACTTCCACTTTAAGCAAGTCGTAATTAATCAATACGAGCTCTCTTAAGAATTTTCTTCCGTTTTAAAGATATTTTTTTAGGCAATTGAATTTTGTCAAATATAGATTAAGCTGCTCACAAGTATATTCAACAAAAAAAAACCTTGCTTACTCAAATATAATCTAGCTACGATTATTAAAAAAGAACACATTAGAGACATTCTTATAGTGTCTTTCTTGAAACATTTTAACGTTAAAAAAGTTCATAGTGGCATTTATAATGACCTTGCATTATTTCATTGCAGTATATTATCTATTCAAATTATCAACAGTAATAATTCGAAACACAAATCAATAAAATGTATAATGTGGTATTTAATCGACGAATTGTGTCCATTATTGGTAGTGTCATGTTGGGTGTGGCGTGTATATTTTACGTTGTTACCAATTTTATTCCAAACTGGTTCGTATTAATCTATTCGTTTTGTGATATATTTAGATCTTTTGTTGCAACAGACGAAGTCAATCGAGATTCTACAAAGAAATATTTTTTCACACTGTTGAAAGTGTGAGTGTGAGTGTATGAAACACTCACATGGTGTTTTCAAGACATTTAAAAAAGAATCTTCAGCTATCACCTGACTGATCCGACCTTCAGTAGACGAAACCTATTCTGACGTCTAATTGGCTAATAGATAGTAATCCCTGTCAACCGATCAAATTTCAGAAAAGTTTTTGTTTACTGCAGTTCGAACAAAACATAAAGTTGTTCTGATCAGTCAGGTGTTAGCTGAAGATTCTTTCTCAAATGTCTCGAAAACAATATGTTTTATCTGAACTGTAATAAAGAAAAATCTTCCTAAAATCTGATTGACTGAATAATAAACGTAGATACTCAAATTCCTTCATACCCATTATATAACAATACTTGGTAGAGTCCTGAGGTTTCAAAAAAATTGGAACCGAGAACCGAATTTTTCTGTTTCTCTTACCCGGAACCGTTAACTCAATGACTCGCTATTTTATATGTTACAGTTAAATCGAAAAAGGAACCACTTTTTTTCGATTTCGGGAACCGGAAGCGAACCGGAATCGTCGGTTCCGATTTGGTTCCCGGGTAATGTTAGGAACCACAGGGCACTACTACTTGGTAACGAGTAATTTTTCCATTATCCATTATTCAGTAACTGATAACATTCCCGATACCAATTAATTAGTAATGTAACGGTAATGTGCCTAGCTTATTCGATTTCTAAAGGGTGAAAATTGATCTTATTTTCACTATGATAATGCAGGCAGAGTTTTCTTGAATAAAAAAAAGCATACAAATGTATATTTTCTTAGATAAAATTCACCAACTTTGTAACAAGATGTCTCTTTGTTCATATATTACTCACCTTGCTATTTTTTTGCATATTGACATAAGTTTTTCATATAATACTATGACAACCATGAATAGATTTGATGGAAAATGAATTCATTTGCTTTTAGGGGCAACTTCAATATTGGTCTAGAAAAAATAACAGTCGGATTGTGGAAAGTATGTATATTGGAATCTAGTCACTCGGCCTGTTACCATTTGAACTGCTTACAATCACTGTTTAAAGGTTGTACAAAACTAAAAGCCGCACGTGTTTTTATTATTATTGCTTGTATTCTGTCAGCATTGGCTACTTTATGCGTTTTAATTTACGTATTCTTAATTAAAAACTCAAACAGAATGGTCAAAATCATGATAAAAAGTCTACCATTCGCCACTTTGCTCGCTGGCATCATTAGTGTTGCTTTAGGTGCGAGCTTTATTGGCAGTAAAACTATGGCCACTGTGAAAGTAAGTGCAAATATTACTGTGATTATCGTTGCACTCGTACTCAACTTAGGT